AAAAGGCAATGCTGAGGACTGTAGGCGCAGTGGTTGGTCAAGGAAACTCAATGCAGCAGATGAAAGACCCATCATGCTTACTTCCCTTCAACATTGGAAGATATTCCAAAGTGCCATCAGCACAGAACTGGCAGAGACCAGTGGGACCCAAGTACACCCATCTACTGTCTGGAGAAGTGTGGCCAGAAGTGGTCATAGAAGAATTGCAATCAAAAAGCCATACCTACGATGTGGAAACAAGGTTAAGGGTCTCAACTATGTACAAAAACATACAGTAGGAACTGGGGTTCAGAAAAAAGGCAGCAGGTGCTCTGGACTGATGAGTCAAAATTTTAAATATTTGGCTGTAGCAGGAGGCATTTTGTTCATCAAAGGGCTGGAGAGTGGTACAATAATGAGTGTCTGCAGGCAATGTGAAGGATGATGGAGGTTCCTTGCAACTTTGAGACTGCATTTCTGCAAAGTTGGAGATTGTTCTGTTGGCTCCAATCTAAGCATTGATTGTGTGATCTCTGCAACTCATGGGGCCCCCGGGCAATAGGGGAACATGGGGCCCCTGTGTCCTTGCTCAAACTCAAAAAAGCCTATGAAAAAGGTACCGAGGCATCTCATGGGGTCCCCTACTGACTCGGTGCCCGAGTTTACAAATGGTCAGTCCGCCCCTGGATCTCTGTAACTTACAGTTGTGATGAGATAGTGACAACTTCAACCTCTGATGGACACCACAGTCAGTGACTCAATGAGAATGACATCTTGTAGATCTTGTGACGTTTAATCCATAAACTAAGAGAATCTTACAACAATGAAATTCCATAGGTCAAAAGAACATGCTGTTTCCTGCTCCATGCCATGAGGCTTACTGCAATGCATCTCTGGGAAGGGGGGAGGGCTATCTATGCAACATTAGCTAAACTAAAGGAAAGGGAAGAGCAGAGACAAAACACTGAAAACATTTAAAGGCATATGACAGTCAACATGACAGTCATGTGAAACATGACACTGAGATATACAGGCAGATACTTTCCGTCATGCCATACCATCAGGGAGGCATGTGATTGGCCCCACATTTATTCTGCTGCATGATAACGACCCCAAACATACTGCCAATGTCACTAAGAGCTATCTTCAGCATAAAGAAGAACAAGGAGTCCTGGAAGTGATGGTTTAGCCCCCACAGAGCCCTGATCTCAACATCATGGAGTTTGTTTGAAGAGACAGAAGGATTTGAGGCAGCCTACATCCACAAGAGATCTGTGGTTACCTACCTGCTGAGTGCCTTCAAAAACTGTGTGCAAGTGTACCTAGAAGAAATGAGGCTGGTTTGAAGGGAAAGGGTGGTCACCAGGGTGGACTGACCATTTGGAAACTCGGTCACTGCCCGAGGGCCTGGGGTCAGTAGGGGGCCCCATGAAATGCCCCTGGTACCTTTGTCATATGTTTTTTTGAGTTTGGGCAAGGACACAGGGGCCCCATGATCCCCTATTGTCCGGGGGCCCCATGAGTTGTCAGTCCGCCCCTGGTGGTCACACCAAATGTTGATTTGGATTTCTCTTCTGTTCATTTACTTTCCATTTTGTTAATTGATAAAAATAAACCATTAAAACCTCTATGAAAACATTCTTTATTTACAACATTTTTCTTTCCAACTTGCCTAAAACCTTTGCACAGTATTGTATATAATTACAATTTGTGCACAGAAACATTTTTCTGTAAAACACTCACATGCATTGAAATTATATTTTTTACAAACACAATTAAAAAGACATTATGCTCCCTTTAAATTGCAACAAACATTTTAACAAGTATTTTTTTTTTAGAAGAGTTTCTTTAATAGAAGAAGCATGCTTTATTTTCTCCACCCTCCCCCCCCCCCCCCCACACTGTTAAATGACAGTGCAAACGAAATGCATAATCATCAGGCTGTCCATGTCATTCTGGGCGCTGTAAGTATCCGCTTGTCTGTACGTGGCAGTTTTATTCCGGCACTTGGAGCCTGTCCAGAGAAATGTTAACAAGACATTTCTGTAATGTAGTTTCAATTTAGTTTGGAGATGGATCACTCTGCTGCATCAGATCCCTGGCAGCTGCCAGAATCTATTGATTTTCCTTCCCAATGCCCGTGTTTATCTCGTTTGTATTTTGCTATCCAGTGCAATTTGGTTGGCCAGATAAGTGAGAGGATTTTTTCTGTTTCTTGTCTGCAAATATTACTTTGGCTCGTGCTCACCTTTGCCTGACCTTCATCAGTTCTGATTTGGCAGGCCTACTCTAAGGCCAATAGATCTGTCCATCTTTCCGAAGTGTCATCTGCGCTGCATTGTAACGGTTGACTAGAAAACTGTGTACGCACCTTCACAGTCAAGGTCATGAAAATAAAACTAAATACAGAGCATAAAGCAGAACTCCAGTAAAATGGAAAACAATAAAAACTAGTAGCTTCATGAAATATATAATAAAAAAGAGCTTCTACTGCAATACTCACCTATGAGCCAGAGCTGTACCTGGAACAGAGGCGGACTGACCATTTGGAAACTCGGGCACTGCCCGAGGTCTGGGGTCAGTAGGGGGCCCCATGAGATGCCCCTGGTACCTTTTTCATAGGATTTTTTGAGTTTGGGCAAGGACACAGGGGCCTCATGATCCCCGATTGTCCGGGGGCCCCATGAGTTGTCAGTCTGCCCCTGGCCAGAGCTGTACCTGGAACAGGGTCGGACTGACCATTTGGAAACTCGGGCACTGCCGAGGGCCTGGGGTCAGTAGGGGGCCCAATGAGATGCCCCTGGTACCTTTTTCATAGGCTTTTTTTAGTTTGGGCAAGGACACAGGGGCCCCATGATCCCCTATTGCCCGGGGGCCCCATGAGTTGTCAGTCCGCCCCTGGCCAGAGCTGTACCTGGAACAGAGGCGGACTGACCATTTGGAAACTCGGGGACTGCCCGAGGGCCTGGGGTCAGTAGGGGGCCCTATGAGATGCCCCTGGTACCTTTTTCATAGGCTTTTTTGAGTTTGGGCAAGGACACAGGGGCCCCATGATCCCCTATTGCCCGCCCGATGGGGTCCCATGAGTTGTCAGTCCGACCCTGACCTGGAAGTACTTATTTCCCACCACTAGATAACCTCTTCAGGGGTAAATGGTGGCTAAGGATGAGTTGAATGGGGAACACTTGCAGAACAGCTCACCTTCTGACTGTTAAAGGGTAACTTTAAGGGTAGGGTAGGGTAGGGTAGGGTAGCTTTTGTAAAAAAAAATAAAACCACCTATCATGTTATAAAATATCTCCAAAAGACTCAGCACCAAAGATCATTTTGGCCTGGACCAGAAACCAGGAAGAAACTGAAGAAATATACAAAAAAAGTTTAAATAAGTAAATATACACTGCTACAAAAAATTAAAGAAACACTTTGAAAACACATCAGATCTCAATGGCGAAAATATCATGCTGGATATCTTTACTGATATGGACTGGGTAACAGGGGCGGACTGACCATTCGGGTACTCGAGCACTGCCCGAAGGCCCGGGGTCAGTAGGGGGCCCCATGAGCTGTCCCTGGTACCGTTCATAGGCTTTTTTGTGTGTGGTTTGAGTGTGGGCAAGTACACAGGGGCCCCATGAACCCCTATTGCCCGGAGGCCCCATGAATTGTCAGTCCACCCCTGCTGGGTAATGTGTTAGGAACATAAGGATACCCCACACACGGGCCTAGTACATTACCTTTAAACATTAGTTTATTGTGTAAAATATGATATACTCACAATAGAATAAAATTCAAAGGCACATCATAAGAAATACAGCATGGTCCAATCTCCCTGGAAGGTGTCTGGTTGTCTGGTCGGGGACTATAGACCTCCAAATGTCTAACGCGTTTCAAGGCCGCTACCAACATGATCCAAAGCAGTGTGCCCAAGCTGACAGGGAGGAGAACTGTTAGTAAACAAAACCCTGTTGGAGATCCTCGGGAATCACTGGGCACCAGCGAGTAATCACCGGCTGGGACCCGGTGATTAAAAGTTGCGGCCACGAATGGAGGTGCAGGTAGGGCACACATGCGGTTCACGCACGCCTTGTCACATACCTGATAGAAGTCTGAAATTGATGAGGTCAGCCTCTCTTGTATCTCCAACCCAGGCCCCACTGAAGGTGGAACAGATGGTGCTGAGGGACAGGAGAAACACGAGTGCCTGTGGATATTGATTGTGGAACTTGTGGCTGGTATTGTAACCTCGGTTAATCAGACAGGTCATCCAGCCAGGAACAGAGGAGATGCCGGAATGGCCAGCTGAGGTTAAGGAAGCACCCACTGGAACTGCAAGATCCAGGTACGTGGCTTGCCAGAACTTCTGATAAGCGTGAGACTGGAACACACCATGACAACCGGAGCAGATATAATAGATAGCCAGGACAAGCACTCGGCAGGACTGTAGAGCCAAACTGGAGCCAGAAGCATAGTCAGAGTAATAGCCAGGGTCAGCAACGAGCAGGCGATGAGGTACCAGAACATCAGACAGGGACGAGATCAGGAGGAAGCCAGGATCAGAAACCGATGAGCAGAAGCATAAACAGAATCCAAGAGCAGGTCAATGGCAAGCCGGGTCAGTAACGGATAACACAGGATACAGCAGGACACACGGAATTAGCTGAAGACCAGTCAGCACTGGCAGAGAGTAAGAGCCTCCTTTAACCTCCCTAGCGATCTGATTATGTCCATATTTCTGTGCTCAAAGCGGTACATTTTTTGCATGGAAATATGTATTTTTTTTATTGTAGGCCTGTAATTTTTAGGAATAACTCACTGAAATCTGTCCGAACAAGAGTCTAGTAAACATTCCGGATATGATAAAACTTGAAACACGAAATCATAAATTATAATTTAATAAATAATCATAAAAAATAATATAATAATAATACATTTAATTCAATAATATAATCAAACCAAAAACACTGAAATTTGAAATAGAGAGCCAAGTTCGCACATCACTGAGCTCAGCCCCAGAATCGTTTTCAGTGTCTGATGACAAATTTCCCCCATGAATCATTATCACTCAATTCTGCAAGTAGTTCTGATTTACTATCGCTGTTCTCTAGCCGGTCTAAAACCACTTTTGACCTAAAGGGACGCTTTTTGGACGCCATGGACGTTTCTCAGTTTCCAGGCAGAAAGAACAGTAAAAATGCAGGCAGGGCGCCGGACAAAGCACTCGGGACAAAATGTATGTGAAATGGTTTGATACAGGAATGTTTTATTATGTGATTTTAGTGATTTTAGTGAATGTCACTTTTTGTCATTTTCAAATTTCTCGCCGTTCCATCCCGATGCTTGCAGGGGACGGAACCCAGATGACAGATGCCGGCATCCGCCGGATGAAATTGCTGGGTACACTGCAGGAGGGACATCATGGGAGCGCAGGACAAGGTAAGTGATCGAAGGATCGCAGAGCAGCGCTGCATGGTATTCCCGAGTGTAGCTAGGGGTTACCGCTTGTGATACTGAAACTTTACCCCGAACTACACTCGGGAATACCGCCAGGGAGGTTAAATAGTCTGTCTGGCGCCAGAAAAGGTGGGCATGCTCCCACATGTGTGCACTCATGTGCGCACATTTTTGCATGCATGCGCGAGCCTATGCTCTTTTCTATTAGCCAGTTGCCATACAGGAATTCCCTTACACACCCCCTACCCAGAACTGCAAAATCAAGTATATATACTTGATTTTGCGCACCCGTGCTGCCCTGTAGCAGTATTTCTGCTATAAGGTGGATGGGAAGTGGTTAAGAAAGCTTAGTTCTGCTTTAAGGCAAAATAAGGTAAAAAAGTAAGCAGATTATATGTCGGCTTTGCATCTTTCGCACTTTATAGGAAAAAAAAAAACTTGCTGGAGTTAGGCTTTAAAAGGCATTGAACCATCAGTATTTTTAAACAAAAAGTTTTATTCTTGCATTGTTTACCATTTTCGACGGCAGCTTAGGCAGAATAGTGCTTAGTGTCATTGAATAGTATAAAGCTCTTTCAGCGTCCTCATCTACGGTATTATTTTATGGAACATGAGCATCAACCTAAAGCAGAAACAACCTTGAATATTTCATTTGTTTCAGAAAACATGAAGATGTCTGATTGTAGGAGGTGAACTTTTTAAATATAAAAATATGTAGAAGTAAGACAAAGTGGCCCTTTGGAACTCAAACGCGGCTTGATATTTCTAATCCTACAAATAATAATGAAATTAGACTTCACAAAGAGGCAAGGATGATTTTTAGACTTGCTTAAGAGAATATATAACTTTTTTTTTTTCCATTGTAGATTGAATAACACAAAGTCCTTTCATTTCTATAATCTGAATCATCATTCAAAGAAATACACCGGGGCATTGTTCAGAAAATTTACTAGGTACAAGTTGTTAGCATATAAATCAGTTTCTTTTAGACTAAGGTAATTATATTAGAATTCTGTTTCGTATTCCCCTATGTAGCAAGGAGCCTTTCCAATGAATGTGTTGTATACTTTTGTAAATTGATCTGGGGTTAGAAAAACAGATGCATATATTAAAAGATCTGTTGTTTTAACAGTTGTTAAGAACAAATAAATATATGTAGATTTTTTTTTGTCAAAACTGAATTCGAATTTTGGAGCACAAAACTTCAAAATAGGTGCAACTTTTAGCTGCATGCATGCATTGAACCTCCCTAGCGGTCTGATTGTGTCAGTATTTCTGTGCCCAACGCGATACATTATTTTCAATGGAAATATGTTGTTTTTTTTTATTGTAGGCCTGTAATTCTTAGGAATAACTCACTGAAATCTGTCCAAACAAGAGTCTATTAAACATTCCGGGTATGATAAAATTTTAAACACGAAACCATAAATTAAAATATAATAAATAATCATAAAAAAATAATATAATAATAACAAATTTAATTCAATAATATAATCAAACCGAAAAACACTGTAATTTGAAATATAGCGCCAAGTTCGCACATTGCTGAGCAAAGTCGCAAAATCGTTTTCAGTGTCTGATGAGGAATTTCCCCCACGAATCATTATCACTCAGTTCTGCAAGTGGTTCTGATTTACTATCGCTGTTCTCTAGCCGGTCTAAAACCACTTTTGACCTAAAGGGACGCTTTGTGGACGCCATGGACGTTTCTCAGTTTCCAGGCAGAAAGAACAGTAAAAATGCAGGCAGGGCGCCAGACAAAGCACTCGGGACAAAATGTATGTGAAATGGTTTGATACAGTAATGGAATACTATGTGATTTTAGTGCATTTAGTGAATGTCACTTTTAAAATTTTTGAATTTCCCGCCGGTTTCGTCCCCCGTACATCCCGACGCTCGTAAGGAACGGAACCCGGAAGACAGATGCCGGCAACGGCCGGAGGAGATGGCCAGGAACGCTGCAGGGGGGACATCGCGGGAGCGCAGGACGAGGTAAATGCAAGAGGGATCCTGGAGTAATGTTGCAGGGTATTCCCGAGTGTAGTAAAAGATAGATTTAGAGGTTCACATATAAATTACTGTATCACCCAATATATGGCTTCCATCCAGTAGCCAAAAAATATGCAGACCAAAGAAGAGATTTGTGAAAAGAGATTCACAAGAAAGCGGCTACATTATGGACAGAATGCGATACTCAGAAAAATTTCCAAAAATTATGCTTTATTACACAATAATGATTGACACTCGGGCAATCGCCCTGGTTTACCATCACCTCAGTATGAGACAATACACACAGACCTAAAACCATTAAAATCACACCAAGACCAGTCTGGATATATGTGCTGCAAAAGCTATGACCATCATTGGTTACACTCCCTGTAGGAGGTATTTTCAAAAAATTATACCATGGGTATATAATATCACATACTATGCAAATAAGCACATATAGTTACCACATAGATTACACTCCCTAAAGGAGGTGTTTTCAAAACTTGTACCATAGGTATATAATATCACATGCAAACATAAAGGCAAATACAGTTACCACCTGGAGAGAAGCATAACCCTAGGCCTATATAAGGCAATGTGGGTAAAAAATTGAATGAAAAAAGGGGGGGATTAACCCCAATGATATGATGATGGATTCATGCAGTACAACCCTGTAAAGGCACATGTGGTTGGGGCCCATCTATCTGTAATATACGTAAATAATTGCAAAGATTGTTGATGTCTTGATGGAGAAATGGATGCAAATAGCAGAGGCCTGCTTTATATGGTTTCTTCACCACAACATGTGGACTACAAACCACTTTAATATTTGAAATAAGATGAGGCCCAATAGGTCTTCCGCCTGTTGCAATATATGTAGTATGCCTTGCATCTAGATAAAGCATCTTAATGTCCCCATCCACATGTGCAATGGGTAGTAGAAAATAAAGATATCCTTCATAGGTACTGCCGTGTTGATCCAGGGAACTACCGCTTACATCAGCCAACATTTCGCGGGTTCCAACCTCTCCATGGCGCCTGTACAGCCTTTGCATGACTCATGGCATGTGAAAATGGCTGCCTCCTTGTAGGTCGGCGTGCACATCGCCAATGCGCATAACCGGAAGTGACGTATCTGACGTATGACATCAACGCGTTTCGCCGATGGGCGTATCTCACTCAGCTTCGTCAGGACCAAAGTGTAGCTCGGGGTTAACGCTTCTGGTACTGAAACTTTACCCCGATCTACACTCGGGAATACCGCCAGGGGAGTTAACCTATTCCTTTTTGTCTGGTTCTCCTTTACCACAAAGAATATGGGGGAGTTAATTACTAAAACTAGAGAGTGCAAAATCTGGTGCAGCTCTGCAGAGAACCCAATCAGCTTCCAAGTTTTATTGCCAAAGCTTAATTGAACAAACTGATATTAGGGCACAGCAGCACCAGATTCTGAGTGCACCAGTTTTAGTAAATCTACCCCATTGGCTTTAAAGCAGAACTTCAACCAAAAGGGAACGTTCTGCCTTTCTTCCTCCTCCTCTCCCCATTTTGGAAACTTTACTGTTTTGGAGGGTAGCGGTATTTGGTATGACAGGTACCTGCTCCCACTTATGGTTGGATCACAGCAGTGGATCCACCAGAAGTTTTCTTTTCCCCCTTCCTTCCCAATACCTTCTGGGATGCTTCATAGGTCCGAGAAGACTGTGGGACCAATCACAAAGCACAGTGTGGCTCGCATATGCACAGTGGGAAGCTGGCTGTGAAGCCGCAAAGCCAGTTTCCCTTAGTAAACATGCCTTTGGCAGAGACCCGAAGACAGGTGAAGAACTGGCTTGAGTGAGGACAGTGCTGGATCCCTGGACAGATAACTGGCCTTTTATTAAAAGCCAGTAGCTATAGTATTTCTAGCTGGTGACTTTTGTTTGTTTGGGGGGGGGACTGAAGCTCCTCTTTAATACTGTATTTGGGGTAAACATCAGTTCGTCCTCTGTTAAAATGTTTGGACTTGATTGTGTATCTTTTTTAAGTAGACCAAAAGTCTTCCCCTCAATTTTTTTTAATACTTTGGTAGAGTGTGTTTGTACTTCAAAGCAATCAGTGATGCTATGCAAACCCAAAATCTATTTTTCAGTACATTAGGCACCATGCCTTGCTGTATAAAAAAAAAATTTTTTTTTGTGAATCGATTGCAAAATTTCTTACCTGGAAAACCTGCCAGTAACAGAACTTTTGTTGCAGGTTGACAAAGCTACATCACAGTTGGAAGCAGAGTTGTTGGGCTTTTGTGCAAGCTTCTTCATTTGTTCATTGGGCTATGTGACCAAAATAGGACAAGGGCTTTTGGAGGGGACTATGGGCTAGCCTTCTGCCCACTGAAAATGGCCCATGTAGGAACCAGGGAGCTTCTCTGCTTCTCCCAGTCAGAGCATGGAGAAAAGTAAGGTCCTGAAAACATTTGACTAGCCAGGAGTATCTACTGAGATTACGTGGCCAGGAAGACCCCAGAGCAGTGGTGCTTCTGTGGTGAACATTGTGTCAGACAGAGCGTGCCGACACACATTCACCAGCCAGGGATAAGGAACTCTTCTTGGACATATTTCTTATCTTGTCCCAGCTGATCCTTGAGAGCTGCAAAATGGAGCATTTGCCCATTATGCCCTGGCTACTACCAACTTTATATTATTAACTTTTTATTTTAATTCTGCCGACAATGTGCCACTTGGTAACCTAGATCCGAGCTGGATCTGGGCTTGGACATTTAGAAATGAGTGGTGTAATGTACTGTATGTATCCAGAGCTGTGGAACTGTTTCTGGGCATCCTGGTGGGCATGCCCTGGCCAATCAAAACTTGTTGTGGACATGTTTTCCAGCACATAGACAAAGGAGGCAGGGTGAGGATGGAATTTCTGTAACTACTAGAAAGACTGATAAGATTTGTCCAGGTGCCTAGCTCTTAATTAAATTATTGTTTAAAGGTTGCATTGTCACATTTTTACTGGTTGTACATCTTATGTTATCTATGTTAATGTCCCAAAGAGGGGAATGTCCTACTGGGGGTATAAAGTATATGTCTAGGTTTTAATAAACAGTTATTTTTTTTGTTTTACCTGAACATCTTGTATAGGCTTGGGGTAAAAGGCTGGTATTAGCTTTCAGTCTGCTGGAATGGTTTGGAGGACAGGAGGCAATATTTAGTGGAGGCACCCAGTCGGTCCATCACAGGCTACTTATTAGACCTATCCAGGGGTGGACTGACCATTTGAAAACTCGGGCACTGCCCGAGGGCCCGGGTCAGTAGGGGGGCCCATGAGATGCCCCTGGTACCTTTTTCATAGGCTTTTTTGAGTTTGGGCAAGGACACAGGGGCCCCATGATCCTCCATTGCTCGGGGGCCCCATGAGTTGTCAGTCCGCTTCTGGGCCTATCTGACTGACAACCCAATTGACAATAGAAGGAGCTTCCACAATAGGGTGACCATGAGCTGACAGTTGTGAGACAGTGGTTTAGTGTTGTCAGCCTAGAAAACAAAGTGCTATTAACGGCACTTTCTTCTGATAAGAACCTTTGCAATATATTAACCGCTTTCCCGCCACCCTATAGCAGATATACTGCTACAGGGCAACAGGGGTGTGCAAAATCACGTATATATACGTGATTTTGCATTTCCATGTAGGGGACGTGCACCCTACCCACGCTGCCATTCACAGCAGCGGCTCTCACTCACTGTGTCCCGCCGGTGAGTACCCACCTGCGCCCGGTGATTAACAAGCATCTCTGATGGGGAGGAGGACTGTTTTGTTTACTAACAGTTCTCCTCCCTGTCAGCTCAGGCACACACAGCTGCCCAAAGCAGTGTGCTTACAGTGAAGCACACTGACACGGCCCCCTAGTAAAACACTCATTGTACACGGTTAACCCTTTGATCACCCACATGTTAACCTCTTCCTACCCAGTGCCATTAGTACTGTGTCAGTGCTTTTTTTTTTAGCACTGATCACTGTATTGGAGTCACTGGGGATGTCAGTGACACCAAGTCAGTTCCCCCCAGTGTCAGAATGTCCGCCGCAGTCCTGCTATAAGTCGCCATTACTAGTAAAAAAAAAAACAAATTCCAGTATCTATACTGCCATTTGTAAACACTATAACTTTCACATAAACCAATTAATTTACACGTATTGGGATTTTCTTTTAGCAAAGACATGTCGCAGAATATATTTTGGCTTAAATTTATGACGAAATGTGATTTTTTTAAATTTTTTACTGGACATGTTTACTAGTAAAAAGTCCAAAATATTTTTTTTTTTTTCAAAATTGTCAGTCTGTTTTTACTTATACCGCAAAAAATAAAAAACACACAGGTGATCAAATACCATCATAAGAAAGCTCAATTCATGGGAAAAAAGGACATGCATTTCCTCTGGGTGCGACATTGCATGACTGCGTAATTGTCAGTTAAAGTAATGCAGCACCGTAAAGCAAAAAATGGCCTGGTCAGGAAGGGGGGGAAATCCTCTGGAGGGCGAGGGGTTAACAAATGAACAATGACACCAAACATAAAAGCTTAAACAAATAGAATTGGGTTTACATATACTTTAAAGGAAATCTAAAGGAGGTATTTTAAGAGGAAGATGTTATCAGCCTATCATCCTTCCCTCCATGCAATGCAGCACTTGACATTTAGTAATGACCAATGAAATTGCATCAAAACTGACATTTGAATAAAAACACTGTCCATCACTGTGGGAACTCACATTACATGCACTGGTAAGATGCAGTGCCATTCAACTGAATGGCACCCAAGCGCATCTTGCCAGTGGACTTGTGGTAACCTCCAACAGTGGCAGCACGGTGGCTAAATGGTTAGCACTTCTGCCTGGCAGTACTAATGTCGTTGGTTTGAATCACAACCACGGCACCACCTGCCTGGAGTTTGCATGTTCTCCCTGTGCCTGCGTGGGTTTCCTCCCACACTCCAAAGACAT